AATAAAATTAATTTAAAATCATCCGTGTCAGTTTATAACTTATTACAAATTCAGAAGCGGGATTCGTTAGAGAACGTGCCGAACTTTAATAAAAACGTATTATTTTTATTCGATTAATTACGGAAATTGAATATTTTTTTGGATTTTGTTACGATGGCAAATTCATTACGACGTGCAGATATGGTGCGTGCATTAACAGAGGCCGGCATTGTGTTTGATCCAGAAGCAACAATGGTGCAATTACGACCATTGTATGACGATTTAATTGCGGAAATTGGGCAAAATCGTGGAAATAACGTGCAGCAACGTGTTCAGTTGAATGAATTGGGACCGGATGGTGTACAACAGATGCAAAATAACCCAGACGAAACAGATGAACAGCGACAACAACGTGAAGCTTTACAACAACAACAACAGATGCAACAGACGCAACCAGATGCAAATGTAAGTGTTCATAATCGGTTGAATTTAGATTGGAACGCAGAAGAAGCCGAAATCGATCGACAATTGGTAATTGCTCGTAAAAAACGTGAATTGATGGAATTACAACGTGAATTGGTGCAAATGGAAACACGGAAAATCGATTTACATGTGCTTGACGCAATGGTGACAAAATTTGATGGTTCTGAATTGCATGACATTGCGAAATGGATTGAAAATTTGGAAAACGTGATAAATTGGTTGCTACCCGACATTTGATGACTGGCCGTGCAAAACGTTTTGCGGAAATAACAACGACATTTTCGTACGATCAATTCAAAAAGGCATTGTTGGATGAATACAAACGTGCATACACCGTGCAAGATGTTTTTCGCCAATTGAAAGCACGCACATTGAAACCAGATGAAACACCACGCGAATACATCGTCGAAATGCAATACATTGCGAGCCGATCGAACATTCCAGAAACCGATTTAATTGATTTGATCATCAGCGGCCTGAACGATAAAAGTGTTCACGCATCAATTTTGTACAGTGCTCGTACATTGGCCGAACTGAAAATGTTGATGGAACGTTATGAAAAATTACGCCGTGCCTCAGTGCAACCAAGATCAAGTGCCATGCCAGCTGCAACAATGAAACAGAAGCCATACGTGCCAGATGCCAGTGCAAATACACGTGCCATTGCAAGTGCCAGCGGTAGTGCACCGAAAAGTGTTGGTGAAATTGATTTGTCGGGAATTCGTTGCTACAACTGTTTCAATTATGGGCATTACCAGAGCAAGTGCACGGCTCCAAAACGACCACCAAATTCGTGTTTCATATGCCATGAGGTCGGTCATACACGTCATGAATGCCCGAAAAAGAAGAAGCCAGAAGCCAGTGAACCAAATGCGGTCGCAACGGTTGGAAATCCGCCACCAGAAACAAATTACCAAGACAATTGGGACATCGCAGAGGATGAGAACGAAGTACGCCGTTTAGCAACGCAGTTGTCATCGATGCAAATGGTAAGTGTTGCCTTTATGAATAAACAAAATAAGTGCACTGAGTTAATTTCGAAAAATGCTTTATTTGATTCGGGTAGCCCCGTTAGTTTCGTGAGACGTTCGATGGTACCATTTGCGATGAATAAATTAAAATGTACACCGTATCGTGGAATGGGCAATAAAAAACTAAGTATGTATGGCAAAATTGCGTGTAAATTTGTGTTCAGAGGCAAGGAGTTAATACATAATTTTTTCGTTCTACCAGATAATGAAGCCGTGGTACCTTTACTTGTGGGCCGTGATTTATTAACAAAATTAGAGGTCTATTTATGCCAAATGAAATCATACAAATACACAGCCTGCGAGCTAATTAAAATTAGAAGTAATATGAAAAATAAAATGCCCAAAAGTACCAGTGCACTTAAGTTGTTTAATTTG